TCACAGATGATTCACTCAGACCTGCTATACATATGGGTCAGGAACTCCCAGTTGGACTTGTGTTTGATCAAAGTTCTTAATTCATGTGGTTCTGCTTTTTTGGCCCCAGGTTGTTGGAGCTCGTTGCTCTTGAAATATGGGATTGGATTTCAATAAATTCGAGAGAATGTTCTCAGTTTTCCCCCCCCCCCAAATCAAAAGGACAATGTAATGTCTTATAAATAATTCTTGTGATTTTTTTTTCTTAAAGTAAGAGTTTTTAAAAACTTCCTGCTTAGCCATGAACATTCTGATAGAAATTTACTCGTGATTCAGTACTTTGAAAGAGAAAAAATGTACATGTTTCTGTAGTCTACCTTTGCATTGGAGGAAAAGCTTATTCTTAATCATGTCCCAAAGTATCCTGATGATACTTGCTTATTTTAGAGCCAATATATAAAATTCCTTGTGTCCATGTGTTGGGGTATTGACTACCTAGTGGTATTGGTACCCTATTATGGTTTTCATGGTATCTTTAAGTTAGCAGGATTCATTAAATTTCAAAGAATAGGCAGTTCTCTATTTAAAAAAAAAAATTCTTCCATGTTGCAGTAACAAACTATAAATATCTTCTCAGGTCTTACTTCAGAAAGTAATAAAAGTAAACATTATTCTTTGTAAATACCTGATCAGGTATATAAGGCAGAATTCATTTATTGTGAATGAATCTAGTTATTTTCCTTTGCAAGTTTATTTTCTTCAGATTTAGAGACAAATTATCCAGATCTAAAAGCAATTTATTTTTGTTTTGTTTGTGTTTGAATGTTAAAGGTGTGGGAACATGGCTTTCACAATCTGGTACCATAAATGTGTTTCTTGCTTTGGGATTTGGTGTAGGAGTATCTGAAAAATTACTGTAATGTTCTTTCATAACCTTGTCCATTGTCCATGCTTCATTCGCCCCATTGCCCGAGTTTCTTCTGAAGATGATACTTTTGTATGTGCAGGTGTTTGGAGAGGGAACTGAAGCTGTAAAGAAATCTTTAGAGGGAATATTTGATGACATTGTTCCAGATGGCAAGGTAAAAATAAACACGTGTTCCTTTTCTAAAAGTACCATGAGTACATCAACATGTGCACGATGCATGGTTTCTCGGGCTACTAAAATTAAGTAGACTCAATATGAAAAACTGAAATAATCAGTTTTTTTGAAAAGTTATATAACAGGCCAACGAGCGATGGAAAATCATTTCATGTTTAAAACTTGTCGATAAGAACATTCTCCTGCTGACATAACATTTTCCAGACTTATCATTTGATGTGAAAGTTTCCGACTAGAATATGAGAGGAAATTTGAGTTCTGAGTTAGCTGAATATTTTATGTCATTGCTAATTCCTTTTTATGTACAACTTCTATTCCCAGGAGGTAAGTTCTTATTGCCCTCACTCTGCCCACACATGCTATTTTGCTTCCATTAATTCCAAAGAAATGTTCTGATAGTATGTTCTTTTTAAAAAATGCATCTGTCTCCCAAGTCAAGTATTCAATTAAAGATTCACAGACTTGGTTTAACCTTGCACTTTTAAACGGCTCTGATTGAAAGTCCATAAAGGTATTGATTTTTTTTCCCCCCTTGGCCACATTTTTCCACCTCTAAATAAATGGACATCTCTAGTTTTCAAGACCCTAGTAGTCATACCAATGGCCTCTTTGGGGGTTTTGGTGTTGAGGACATTACCTTGGTATGATTCTCTGGTTCTCTGACTTCGGATGATGGAATTCAGCTCTGGATTGCCAAGCAGTGTCAGCAGTGGCACGGCCCCATATTCTAGAAGGAGCCAAGCCTCAAAAACCAGAGTGCGGTGGAGAGTTCTGGCTCTGGGCGGGAAAGAGAGTAAAGTGACAGCAGGTGGCTTTTCTTTCTTTTGTACTCAAGCAGTTTGTGGATTATGACATACTGGAAGTACAACTAGGCCAGGTGTGGTGGTGCACACCTGTAATCCCAGTAGCTCGGAGGCTGAGGCAGGAGGATCACAGGTTGAAAGCCAGCTTCAGCAATTGAGCAAGGCTGTAAGCAACCTAGTGAGACTCTTGTCTCTAAATAATACATGAAAATGGCTGGGGATATGGCTCAGTAGCTAAGCACTGTTGGGTTCGATTTCTGCTACCAAAAAAAAAAAAAAAAAAAATTCCAATCAGGTTCCTCTCATTGAGCATCTGTATTTGTTGTGCCTCTCTGTAATGCAAGCACAGTTTTTGATATTTAGCTGGTCAGCTCTGATTGGCCAACTCATCTAACACATTATTACATATTTTTAAGGATGGTACATCCTCTCCCACACAGAGAAGGTGGAAATCAAAGGCTTTTTTCTTTGAATTTCTGTTTAGCTTCCTGGATTTTCCAACTTTCCAGGACACCTCTTTATTTATCCCACTTCGTGGATAGCATGCCTCATTCTCAAAGAGCAGTTTAGCTGCAAAACTTGGGCTAATCCAGTGCTAAGGGGCACTTTTTTGATGTGGCACGTGGGAGCAGCATTGGAAGATTCCAATTATAGTTAATGGGATGGAGTCAAGTTGATTGCTTTTTGACAGCTCTTTCCCTGGGGTCCAACTTATCTGTGAAAGCAACAATGTTCAAAGGCAGAAATTATCTTCTGCAACTGGGCTTAGTTTGGTGGCCTTTACTGAAACATTTCCCCCATTCTTGGATCCTTTTTATGTATGGAAATCATTATGTTACCACCTCTCAGCCTGTATTTGGAAATTTGTTCCTTCTTGTAATTTTCTGATATGGTCTTGTTCTTGGTAATTTGTAGACATGTATTTACCCACCAGTGGCCTGGTTATAAACAATAATGAAGGCATGCTACTTGGCATATAAACTGTTGATATCATGTTTACATTGCTGAAATCTAACATAATTCATTCCTTCATTATTTCACTGGGTTTCTAACATTTCATCAACCTCTGGAGCATTTTCTAATTCAGCTTTTTAGTGTGAAGTTTAATGTAGCCGTTGAATGATAGTTTGCTCCAGACACTCCAGCGCTTGGTGGTCCTCCCCAATCCTCAGGCTTAACTGGGTAGTGGGCAGAGTGGTGGGGTGGAGCCATAGGGGGCAGAGCCTTAGGGGCAAAGCCATAGGGGCAGAGCCACAGGGGGCAGTGTGATGGGGGGGCAGAGCCATCTCAGTGGCCTTTAGGAGGTTGCTATGAGGCCCCTCCTCTAATCTTAGAAGTTCATCTTGAAAGTAAAGCTCTCCCTTTCCCAGAATTGTCCAAGGATTATACAGAAACAACATTACCTATCATTATGTAATGCTGGAACATTATCTTTATGAACAAGTTCCCTTGGAGGCATCATTGTTGCTTTGAAGTATAAATTTCACATGGCACACATTCTTAATTGAAGTTCTTGGCCCAAAACTTAAAATGTTTTTGTGGAAGAAATAATAGCAATAAAGCTGAGCCGATTAGGTGGCCTGTTTCTTGCTTTCTTCCAAATTTCAGTACTTACTTATTCAGGTCATGCTTGACTTTGAATGACTGGGGCCAAGTTCAAAGTCAGAAATCTTCCTGCCCTGCTCCAGACAATGCTCCTTTCTCAATAGTTTCTCTCTCACCAAGGGTTCCCCTGCCTCCCACCACCTCTTCTGCCCTGGGCTGACTTCCTGGAACTAGATAATCCCTGTGTGCAAAATCTGGGGCCTTGGGATGTGAGAGACTGACAGCTGCAGCTCTGCTGACCTGACTTCTTATTACAGAGGGAGAAAGAAGTGGTCTTACCTAGTGTCCACCAGCACAATCCTGACTGCGACATTTGGGTCCACGAATATTTCAGTCCTTCCTGGTTCTGTCTGCCCAATAATCAGCCAGCTCTGACCGTCGTCCGGCCAGGTGACACTGCACGGGACACCCTGGAGCTCATCTGCAAGGTATGGAGCTACTTTAGATGGTTTCCCGGAGAAAAGCAGAATGAAGCGAAGGATTCTTCTAAGGTACATAAGGAAACTCGGTCGTATAGAAGGAGGCAGCACTTAAAACCCATTTCCATTTCTTTTCAGAGCTGCCTTTTGCCTGCTTTTAGGATGATATGCATAATAATCTTGGAGGAACTTCCCCTTTGGGAGGAAAGGAACTCTTCTAACTTCTTTCAAAATGTGTGTGTTTTTTTGCAACATCACACCCTTACATTTTAGAAAATCTAAGAACAAGACAGCACATCACTGTGCTATTCAGGACCTTATTTACAAAATTCAAAAATAACCACAGTAAACATTTCAG